ATATATATATATATATATATATATATATAAAAGTAAAATCCTCCTATGTAATTTTCCCGCTCAAATTTTTATAGTCAAATTAATGAAATATTTTATTGGTTAAATTAATAAAACTTATTTGGTAAGCAAATGTAAAATGGAAATGTTATAAAAGCTATTAATTGGTAATATTATGTAATACACTAATACCAATATACCATTGTGAAATCCAGTAAAGATAAATTGAAAAAAGGAAACTGATATTATTAATTGATTGAAAATATAAAAGGATTCTAATGAAAAAGGAAACAGAAATTAGGCAAATTGAAAAAAAATGGATATTATTAATTGACTGAAAAGTATAAAGCCTAATTGATTGAAAATATAAAAAGAAATTAATTCTAACATTCTCTATCTCTACCTATAAATACAATGGATTAGTGACTAGAAAAATTATAACTCTTACTTTTTGTACTGGGGTGAGTTCTGTATTGCGTCTTTCATTTTCCAATGGCATAATTCTTAATTTATGTTCTTATTTCTTTTCTCATCTTTTGCAAATATTGCAGGATACAAATATAGAGACAATTGAAATGGTTCTGAGCAACTATTTACATGCATTAAGGAGAGTTGATGACTTCCAACACCACATGTGCCCACATTGTAGAAGGTACGCACAATAACTGGATAAACTAGAATGATGTGAAGCATCGGCAATTACAACAAATTTATAAATTTACATGTAATATGCATTATTATTATTATTATATAATAGTTGACACTACATTTATTTTTTAAAATTATTTCTCTTTTATTTTTTTCTATATTTATTTTAATAATAATATAATTGTCTAATTGTTGTAGCAGGAAGTCACAACGAAATTGTTGGTAATTAATCAACTTCATCCTACACTCATTTGGAATAGAATCAATGTTGGAGTGTTCCGTGTTGTTCATCTTCCAGAGGCAAGAGGTTCTGAAACAATAAACTCTATAGAGTGTGTAGTCCATGATAAAGAAGTTTTTTTTTTTTCTTTTTTTTTTTTTTTGGGTACTATGATCTTAATTTTAATAGTTTGTATTTCAAAACTTCTAGTTTATGCATATGGTTGTTTTACAACATTTTATTTTTACACTACAAATTCATGGTACTTTTCTACATATGCATATTCTTCGAAAGAATGTGATTCAAATAATGATGGCACCATACATATGTTCATTGCGCGAAATCTTAATATTAATTGAGTTGCCAAATTGTATATTGCATAAGAATTATTCATACCATAATATGAATAGTAACCAATTTAATAAATCTAAATATTAACAAGTATGTATGGTAATATTATTTCATATGAACGTAATACCATAATATATATATATATATATATATATATATATATATATATATATATATATATATATATATATATAAGCGATTCCTACTTCAAGCATTGGATCTCTTGTCTCATCTCAATTAAGAGGGGTCATGGAAAGAACAGGTTCAAAATCACGATCAATTCCTTTTTCAAATCCGGCTGCAGCTGCACGAGCCCTTCCCGCGTGCCACAAATGACCTACGAAGAAGAAGAATCCTAGAACAAAATGCGAGGTAGCTAACCAACTTCTAGGAGAGACATAATTGACTGCATTAATTTCGGTAGCTACACCCCCCACGGAATTTAAAGACCCTAAAGGGGCATGAGTCATATATTCTGCAGAACGCCGTTCCTGCCAAGGTTGTATGTCTTTTTTCAACCTACTCAAATTTAACCCATTTGGCCCCCTTAGAGGCTCTAACCACGGAGCACGCAGATCCCAAAAGCGCATAGTTTCTCCTCCAAAAATGACTTCTCCGGTCGGGGAACGCATTAGATATTTACCTAAACCAGTAGGGCCTTGAGCAGATCCCACGTTCGCTCCAAGACGTTGGTCTCTAACTAGAAAAGTAAATGCTTGAGCTTGAGAAGCTTCTAGTCCAGTAGGTCCGTAAAACTCACTAGGATAAGCGGTATTATTAAACCAGACAAAACAACAAGCGGTGAAACCAAATATGGCTAAAGCCCCTAAACTATAAGATAAGTAAGCTTCTCCAGACCATACAAATGTGCGTCGAGCCCATGCAAAGGGCTTGGTTAAGATATGCCAGATTCCACCAAGTATACAAATGGAACCTAACCACACATGTCCTCCGACTATATCTTCTAAATCGTCCACACTAACAATCCACCCTTCTCCCCCAAAAGGAGATTTTAGTAAATAACCAAATATTATACTTGGACTCAGGGTCAAGTTGGTAATTTTTCTTACATCTCCCCCTCCTGGGGCCCAGGTATCATATACACCTCCAAAATAAAGGGCCTTGAACACTAGAAGAAAAGCACCTAGACCTAACAAGATTAAGTGAATACCTAAAATTGTGGTCATTTTATTTCTATCTTTCCATACATAACCAAAAAATGGAAAAGATTCTTCAAGCGTCTCAGGTCCCAGAAGTGCATGATAAATACCGCCAAAGCCCAATACTGCAGAGGAAATTAAATGAAGTACTCCGGATACAAAGTAGGGGAAGGTGGGGAAGTAAAATTAATATATATATATATATATATATATATATATATATATATATATATATATATATATATATGATTATTTTCAAATACAAACCACCCTTAAAATATAAACTCCCCTTAAAATACAAACTGTGTGCATGTAAGTATGTTAGTGTGTGCACGAGCTAATCCTATATATTGTTGATAGTGTGCCCAGTGTGCATGTAAGTTTGTTAATGTGTGCACGAGCTTTGATGGATGGTTGTGATTTTATCCTCCTACGCGTTGTGTGCATGTAAGTATGTTAATGTGTGCACGAGCTTTGATGAATGGTTGTGATTTTTTCTCCTACGCGCTGTGTGCATATAAGTATGTTAGTGTGTGCACGAGTTAATCCAATAAATTGTTGGCAGTGCGCGATGTGTGCATGTAAGTATGCTAATGTGTGCACGAGCTCATGTTTGTATTTTAAGGGGAGTTTGTATTTTAAGGGAGTTTGTATTTGAATACAACCCTATATATATATAAGTAAAATCCTCCTACATCATTTTCACGTCCAAACTTGTGTACTAAATTAATTAAATATTTTATATTTTTTAGTCAAATAATTAATAAATCTTATTTGGTAAGCATATGTTTAATGTAAATTAATTAAAATGTATTAATTGGTAATATTGCATAATTATGGTATTGTAAATGTATTAATTGCTAATCAATTTATAGTAACGTGAATATTATGTATGGGAATAACAGATGAAACACGAATTTGGAAAACGAAATTGAAATTATGCAAATTGAAAAAGGAAACGTATATTATTAATGAACTGAAAATTATAAAAATCCCTAATTGATTGAATAGAAAAGGAAATGGAAAATGAAACTTATATTATTAATTTATAATTCTCACATTCTCTACCTATAAATACAATTCATTGGTGACAAAAAAAAAAAAAAAAAAAAAAAAAAAAAAAAAAAAAAAAGGAAATGGAGAGATTTTTTTCTTTTTTTTTTTTAACCAGAAGTTTCAGTTTCTATGTTTTTTCGTATACAAATTTATAATTGTAAATTTATTTTAATAAATAATTATTAAGACAAGTATAATTTATTTTATATTGTGGACACATTATTTTTAATCATTTTGATTTAATAATATTATACAATAATTATAAAAATTATACCTAATAATCTTAGTATTAAATGTCATACAATAATTACCATAAACAATGTTTAATAATTGACAAATTCTATTAGGCAATAAAAATTACTATTATAAAATCTTTTGTAATATGGACACATTATTTTTAATTATTTCAATTTAATAATATTATATCTTATTTATAAAAATTCGAAGTAATACAGTGAGTACTATTGAATATTGATTGACTAAAAATTATCTTAATTATTAAGGTAATTAATAAGTATTTAGCTTTAAAAAATTCAAATATATGAATTATACATAGTAGTATGGAATCAATTAGTAGGACAATTATATTAGGTAATCTAATTAATAATTTAATTTTTAAAATTATATCCTCTTTTCAATAATTATATATATACTTAATGTATAATATTATTGGCATAAAATAAATTATACTTACCTTAATATATAATTAATTTTTAATATAATTTTTTAATTTTTATTAATGGTAATTATTCTAATAGTTTTCTTTCCTTCTTTCGTGTAATTATTATAATAATTTTATGGTAATGTGTTTAAATATTGGAAGAGAACAAATATTACAATTAATATAATTAATGAAATTATTATGTTAATTGCTACAATATTTATTAATTATAATTAATATAATTATTGAAACTGAGAAATATAAGATTTCTTCCCTTAAAATATTTGTGACAATTTCATTAAATTATAATTAATAAAATATGAAATATAATTAAATAAATAAAAGTATAAAATTAACAAAACATGAATATTTATAATTTTTAAAAAAAAATATACATACAATTATACACTATAATAATCATACAATATTTAAATGCTACTTTTTAAATTTCTAAATGTAATTTTTAATTATAAATCTATCAATATAAATTATAATTAATGAAATTATATTATAGAATTTTTCTATATACATATTAATAAATATTATGTGTATATACAATTGATGGATTTAATTAACCCGGGGGTGTGCCCGAATCAATAAATCCGGATAAGAACGTTATATAAATAATATATAAACGAAATACGAAACGATGTCGTAAAGGTCGCGGTGGACCGTATATTATATTAATTGCAATAGCCAAATACTACGACAATTAATATAATATACGGTCCACCGCGACCTTTACGACATCGTTCCGTATTTCGTTTATATATTATTTATATAACGTTCTTATCCGGATTTATTGATTCGGGCACACCCCCGGGTTAATTAAATCCATCATTGGTGCTCTTGTTGAGAGCTGCTGTATAAGCTTAAGCGCTCTCCCCACTATCGTTCATCCCCAGCGATGGCAAGATCGAGATCCAGCTCTCGTCATACCAATGGTTCCCGCGGCACCCAGCTCGCCGCGAACGGGAACGGCCCCAACGGGGCCCCCGCCCCCAGCATCCAACCAGCCGCCTCCGCCAGGTCGGGGGAGGATCTGACGGCCCAGCTCACCAACCACCGTAGCAGTGGTGCGCCACCAGAACCCCCGCCGCCCCCGCTCCAGCTCGCGCACTCATCCGGGAGGGGGTGGCGGTCTTCGAACAAGCTTCCACCGCGCTGGCGCGCGTCGCGGCGGGCCTCCGAGCAGAGGAACAAGCCGCCCTGGGTTCCACCGGAGGGGCGTCGGCGTCGCCTCCGCCTCCTCCCACCTGGGGGCGCAGTGGCCCAAGCACCCGACCGCCCCAGACACCCGTCACCCAGGGGGAGGTCAACTCGCCTCGACCATCGGAGAGGCGGGGAAGATGGGACTCCCGCCGAGACCGCCAGCATGACGACGATGGAAGGGCCCCAACCCAAGCCAGGCCCGCCCTGGAGAGGTTGGGCGACCGGGTGCCAGCCCGGGAGAGGTTGGGCCCAAGGCCTGCTGCTAATGAGCCCCCACCAGCAGAGTCCTGCTCCCGCTGGCAGGCACGTCAGCAGTCAGTCACCCGGAGGTCGCCGAGTCGCGGACCCCAGGCCCCGCCGCGACAAGAGGTAGGCCCGCGGGGGTCACCGGGACGGGGGACCCGAGTCCCGCCTCGGCGTGCACAAGCTTCCCGGGTCGAACGATCAGGGGAAACAAATGGTAGAGCTCCGAGCTCCCATCGGGTAGAGGTCGAGCAGTTGCGGAGGAGGATGGATGAGCTCCAGAGGAAGTTCGACGAGAGGGACGGATCCCCAGAGCCCCAGGATGTGTTGTCCTCTCCGTTTGCAAACGCCATCATGGAGGAGCCCTTACCTCGAGATTTTCGCTTTCCCACCATTAAAGCGTACTCGGGGACCACGGACCCACGGGCACACCTGACCAGGTACAGAGCCGCCATGATGATCACCGAGGCGACAGACGCCATCCTGTGTAGGGGGTTCTTCGCCACCCTGGACGGGAAAGCGCATGATTGGTTCGGATCCCTCCCGGCGGGGTCCATCTCCACCTTTGCGGACCTCACCCGACAGTTCCTGTCCCATTTCGCCACCAGCATACAGCGGAAGAAGCAAATTGTCGACCTGTGTGATTTGAAGCAGGGGAGCTCGGAATCACTAGCCGAGTACCTCGGCAAGTGGAAGAAAGAGGTCATGGGGGTCGCCGACTTCGATGCGAAATCGGCCATGGTAATTTTCCGGAACAACTTGAGGCCGGGCGCTTTTCACCAGGACCTCATCAGGTACCCCCCAGGACCTACACCGACCTCATAGACAAGGCAGCAAGGTATGCTGACGCCGAGGCTGCCGAGAAGAGGAAGAAGGAAGAGGTCGAAAAGACAAGGCACCCCAGGAGGAGCGCAAGGCGCCCCGACCACACCGGCGTGAGTACGCTGAGGGGCCCAGGATGAACCCCACACGCTATCTCACCCTACTGACACAACCCGTGGGTACTATCTTGGCGCATGCGGAGGACCAGGGAATCGTGGTATCCCCGAAGGAGGAGTGCATGAAGATATCGACGAGGGGGGACCCCAACAAGTACTGCAGGTTCCACCGGCAGAAAGGACACGATACAAACGAGTGCATCCTCCTAAAAAGACAAATCGAGCAGCTCATCCAAATGGGCTACCTCGGCCAATTCATTAAGAAGCCCGGCCAGACGCAGGAACAGGCCCAGGGCCAGAAGCAGAGCAATGTATGGCGGAAGGGGGTGGCCAGGCGCCATCCACCTCGGCTCCTCCCCACAAGAGGGACCACCACGACCACAGTTCCGAGGAGGAGGAGAAGAGGACGGAGGACTTCCAGCCCTCGAAGAAACGGGCCATCTACGTCATCTTCGGGGGGCCCGAGGGAGGGGACTCGCCAGCCGAGCGGATGAGGTGGGTGAGGAGCTTGTACGTGGGGGAGGTCACACGTATCTCCCATGAGAAGAAACCAAAGAGGGAGCCCATCACGTTCACCGACGCCGACCTGCCAGATGGGCCCCTCCCCCACCGAGACGCCCTGGTGGTCAAGCTGGACATCAACAACGTGGTGGTGCACCGGGTGCTCGTAGACACGGGTAGCTCGGTGAACGTCATGTACTACGACACGTTCACCCAGCTGGGACTCTCAAGAGGGCAACTGGAGCAGGTACGCACCCCCCTGTCCGGGTTCACGGGGGACTCAATTGAGACGGAGGGGTCGATCAGTCTGGAGGTAGAGATAGGCACCCCACCTCACACCAGGAGGTGGGAGGTCGAGTTCGTAGTCGTGAAAATCAGTTGCGCCCACAACATAATACTCGGCCGACCCGCCCTGGAGGACCTCAGGTACGTAATTTCCATGGAGCACCTGTGTCTCAAGTTCCCGACACCGACCGGGGTCGGGGTCGCCCGGGGGGACCAAAAGGTAAGCTGCAACTGCTACTTGAAGGCTTGCCGCCAGATTGGTCAAAAGGACCTCCAGGTACATACCATCGCCGAGAAGGCATTTCAGGAGGAGGTAGGTCGACCTCGGGCCGAGCCCGTGGTCGAGACAGAGGAGGTCATCCTCGACCTCAGCCGACCCGACCGGGTTGTGAAGGTAGGGGTCGGCCTCCCGGCCGAGCTCCGGGCACGGATAATCAACACCATCAGGAGCTACAAGGAGGTCTTTGCATGGGGTCCCGAGGACATGCCGGGCCTCAGCCGAGACGTGATCACACACAAGTTGGCCGTCGACCCCGCGGTCAGGCCAATCCAGCAGCGCAAAAGGTACCTCACCGCCGAGAGGAGGGAGTTCGTCAAAAAGGAGGTCGACACACTGCTGGAGATTGGTCATGTTAGGGAGGTCATATACCCCACCTGGCTGGCCAACGTAGTCCTCGCCCCAAAGCCGCCCACCTGGAGGATGTGCGTGGACTACACCGACCTCAACAAGGCCTGCCCTATGGACCCCTTTCCCCTCCCCAACATCGATCAGCTGGTGGACGAGACTGCAGGGTGTGCCCTTATGAGCTTCCTAGATGCGTTCAGGGGGTACCACCAAATTTTTATGGAGGAGAAGACAGCCTTCACCACGCCAGAGGGGGTCTATTGCTACAAGGTTATGGCTTTCGGATTGAAAAATTCAGGTGCCACCTACACCCGAATGGTGGCCAAGGTGTTCAAGCAGGTCCTCGGTCGCAACCTCCAGGCCTACGTCGACGACATGATCGTCAAGAGCACCGACGCCGACCTCCACACAGATGACCTTACCGAGGTATTTTCAATTATGCAACGCTTCAATTTACGGCTGAACCCCAAAAAGTGCACCTTCGGGGTGCACGGGGGGAAATTTTTGGGGTACATGGTCTCGAAGAGGGGCATTGAGCCCAACCCCGACAAGGTCAAGGCCATCCTGGACATGGAACCTCCGAGGTCCCTCCGGGAGGTCCAGCGCCTCAACGGGCGATTGGCAGCCCTGGGCCGTTTCCTTTCGAGGTCGGCCGAGAAGGCCTTGCCGTTCTTTAGAGTCCTAAAAAAGACTAAGGGCTTCGAATGGTCCGAGGAGTGCCAGAAGGCGTTCGAAGACCTCAAGACGTACCTGATGTCGCTCCCCCCCTGGCCAAACCCGTTAAGGGGGAGGTCCTATATCTATACTTGGGCATCTCGCAGGCCGCGGTCAGCTCCGTGCTGGTCCGGGACGACGAGGGGGTCCAGCGGCCCGTATACTACACGAGCTGAGCTCTACGGGGAGCAGAGATCAGGTACACACCCGTGGAAAAGGCCATTTTTGCAGTAGATGCGACGGCAAAGAAGCTGAACCACTACTTCCAGGCCCACCCCGTGCAGGTCCTCACCAACCAGCCGCTAGACGCAGTACTGAGGGCCTCGGGGTCGGCAAGCAGGTTGGTCAGGTGGGCCATGCGGCTGAGCCAGTTCGACATCCAGTTCAAGCCCCGACCCGCCATCAAGGGGCAAGCGCTGGCTGACTTTATAGTCGAGTGCACTGCCCGGGAGGCAACGGAGCGGGTCAGGGACGAAGACGAGGAGTGGTGGACCCTCTCAACGGACGGGTCCTCCAGCACCAAAAGCTGCGGGGGTGGAGTCGTCCTCATAACACCCGAGGGGTTTCGGGCCTACTACGCCCTCCGCTTCGCGTTCAAATTATCCAACAACGAGGCCGAGTATGAGGCACTCCTGGGGGGGCTCCACCTCGCACTAAATATGAGGGTGGAGAAGCTCAAAATTCGATGTGATTCTAGACTCGTGGTGGGACAGGTCACAGGTGAATTTGAAGCAAGTGATGAAAGAATGAGGAGGTACCGGGACGTGGTGCTCCAGCTACTGGGGCAGCTGATCAATTATGAGGTCCTACAGGTACCCCAAGACCAGAACACAGATGCTGACATGTTATCCAAGCTCGCCCAAGGGGCCCCAGAACATATCTCAAAAATAACCCGAATTGAAGATTTCAAGAGGTCGAGCCTGGACGCCTAACCGGTCCTACCCGTGCAAATCCGACCTCCCTGCTGGTTGGACCACCTCAAGGAGTACAAGAAGACAGGTACGCTACCTCCCGACGAGGTCGACGCCAAGCTGGTGAAACGGCGAGCCCCCACGTACGTGGTCATGGGGGACACACTCTACAAGAGGTCCTATAACGGCGCCTTGCTGCGCTGCTTGTACCCAGACGAAGCCAGGTCAGTCATGGAAGAAATCCACGAAGGGACCTGTTCAGCCCACCAGGGGGCCTTCGCTATGTCCCGGAGGGCCATCTTACAGGGGTACTTTTGGCCCAAAATGGCCAAGGAGTGCGCCGACTATGCCCGGAGTTGCGAGACCTGCCAACACTTCCAAGTCACCCCCGGCCGGCCAGCCACGAGCTACACTCCCATCAGCTCGGTCATCCCCTTCTCCAGGTGGGGAGTGGACCTAGTGGGAGCTCTGCCCATGGGGTCGGGAAAAAGGAAGTACCTCATAGTCGCAGTGGACTACTTCACCAAGTGGGTAGAGGCGGAACCGCTGGCAACCATAACAAGTGCCCGTTGCAAGCACTTTGTGTACAAAAACATTTTGTGCCGTTTTGGGGTCCCGATGCAACTCATCACCGACAATGGACGCCAATTCGAGGGGCAAGAGTTCGAGGGGTTCTGTGCAGAATGGCACATTACTCACAGCCGGGTGGCCGTGTGCTACCCTCAAGCAAATGACCAGGTGGAAAATGCCAACCGCACCATTGTGGGCGGCCTGAAAAAGAAACTGGAATCCGCGGGGGGAGCGTGGGTGGAGGAGCTCGACGCCATTCTTTGGGCCTACCGCACCACCCCCCCGGAGGGCTACTCGGGAGACACCTTTTTCCTTAGCCTACGGTTTCGAAACCCGAGCTCCAGCGGAGGTAGTCATACCTTCCCGGCGGGAGGAGGACTACGACCCTGACACGAACGAGGAGCACCATAGAATTGACCTCCACCTGATTGATGACAGGCGCGAAGCAGCTGCGATCCGAGCTGAAAACTACCAGAGACAGACCAAGGCATACCACGATAAGCGGGTCCGACCCCGCTATTTCCAAGTAGGTGATTATGTGCTCAGGAGAAGGGAGGCGAGCCAGCCCCAAGCCGGAGGAAAGTTT